AATGTCCCCCTGACGCCAATGTGAATTGTCGAGGGCCTAGTCCTCTCATTAATATATACATTATTGTGAACGCCGAGTATTCCATAGTTAAGCAGACAGCTGCCGCCCCCAAAGTCCGTAGGATTCGCCACCCAGGAAAAATCAATGTCCCGCCGTTGCCCAGTAGAGGTCATTTGCCCATAAAAATAATGCGCCGCCGTGCCAAAAAAAAAAAAAAAAAGTCGTCAGGAGGTACAGATCACTGTCATTAGCTGTAATAATGTATAGTCGGAAGAGAGGAAGAGGAAGAAAACGAGTCAACAGCCGCTTCATGCTTTGACACTTCGCTGCCGACCAAGCGATAATCCTGCTCGGAATCGGTTCTTCGGGGATATTGGTGATGATGCTTCACTCCGTGGCGATGATACAGATCCATGTCGTTGGGCCTTCCTCATGACATCTTGGTTGCTGACGGGGCCGAGACTAGCTGACTCCAGGCAGAGGCTTTCTCTAGGGTCATCCTCTTCCTCAACCTCGCCAACCTTCTCCATCGGCGTGAGCTGGCTCTCGCTTTGGTGCAAGTTCGGCTTGCTACGCTTCTTGACCAAGCTAAGTGTCCTTCGGAACATTGACGTGGGTGTCATGGGACCCCTCAAATGCTCGGCTGCCTCGTCTCTGACCTTGGCATATGGGTCAATGTGCAGGAAATGGGGTCGCTTCTTCTCAAAACCGGTCGTCATGCTGCTTGCGCGGGGAGGATGAAATTTCATGGTGGAGGTGGCTGAAGAGACGGATCGCGGCCGCTGATGTTGAAGAGATGGCTCGGTAGCTGTGCGCAAAAGACCAGCTCTAGGTTGTCCAACTTCGCTCGAGCTTGGCGATATCGACCTCCGTGGAGACAGGGTCACAATGGATGGTTTGCCGTGAAAGACTACAGCCACCACACGAGCTGTGTCCTCGCGGGCCATGTTGCGCGTACTAGGCTTTTGTGAACCCCCCTCGCCGTCAGACTCCATCTCGTCATCAAAGTCGGAGAAGTCGTCGGCTGATGATGAAGCGTCCTCCTCGGAAGAAAGATACACTTGGTGTGGCGCGGCATGTGGCAGCATGGGCTGGTCATCGTTGGGTGCCCTCTTTTGAGGGATCGAGGCGAGAAGCCTCGAGGCTCGGAGGGAGCTTTTGGCAGGAAGAGCAGGCACATCACATGTCGGCATAGCCAGGCTAGAGGTGCTGCTGCTGCTTAGGTCCCGGACAGAGAGCATGTCGTCGTCGTCGTCCTTCTCGTTCGCACTGCTGTTGTTACTGATGGTACTGTTGCTTTCGTCACCACTGTTGTCTTGGTCTTTTTGTTTGTCCGCCTTGGTCTCAGACTCTGCGTTAACAGGCAGGTTGGACCCGGTCCGTGACAGGTGAGGCTGGTCCTTTGATGGAAGTTGTGAGGAGGGGGAGTCCGAGGAGGAGGGGAGGGAGCTTCTATAAAGCTTCTGCATTTGGTTTTCCTTGGTGGCGGCATTCTCCTCTGTGGACTGTTGGGCTGGAATGGAAGCAGCACCATATGTGGGCTCTTCTGACGGCGACATGGTTAAGAGTGCGTGGTGTGGAACAAGACCACACTCCAAAGGTAGACAGGTGTGTGTGGCTCCTTGTGCTTCTCCTCGTTTTGTTTCTGTAGGAGTTTCGAAAATATTAAACTACCCAGAGGTCATGAGACGCAGAGTTGGGATTAGGCAAGTACGTATAATCGAGGGAACAGAAAGTAGTTGTATTTGAGCAAGAGTTGATACAGCTTCTTGGTCGGCGGCGGTTTCGTTTCGAGACTTCGAGGTTTTGTTTGATGGGGCGTGTTGAATCAACGACAGCTGCCAAATCCCATATACCAAATGCCAGGTCTCGGAAGAAAGAGGTGTGACGCGGCGAGACTGGCCAGGAGGTGCTCGGCAGACGAGATGGATGACGAGATGGCGCCAGGCGTGTAAGTGTGGGCTAGCCCCTTGGTCGAAACAAGGGAAAGGAATTCGATGAACGAAGGACGCGAAGACAAATGTCAGAAGGGAGAGGGCTGGTTGGAAGGGCTCCGGAATGTTTCAACCACAGCCTCCCAGCTCCCTAAATGTATGAGAATGGTAAATGGTATGTGAAGAATGGGTATGGTATGGAACAGGAACTCGGAGGGTGGGAAGGCCGGACGAGATATGGAATATGAATGAACCGCACCAAACGGCCAGGGATTGACAGGAACTGCAACAGGCTCGCAAATTCTTGCAGCGATGCCAGGTTCATCCATACGGACCGTACCCGTGCATGCCATGGACCGACGCATCCACACCGTTCTCTGGTAGAGTTGACCAGGAAGACTGACCAGGGCTGACCAGGACCAAGCGGGCGAGATACGGATGTCTAGTCCCACTTTGCACCTGGGATGGCCAGCCGTGCGCGGGATGCGGCTACGCACTGGGTACAAACCATCAGTAGCCTGCGACCGGGGGCTGGGCGACCCGCCCTTGGTTCCTGTGCCTTGTGCCTGTTGTGCCTGTGCTACCTGCTCGTGCTACCGGTGCCTGCAGAATCGACTTCCGTCCTTCCATCAATCCGGCTTTCTTTCTACCAGTTGACCTCTTCTTGATCAAGCTAAGTCGAGCGTTGGGAACTATTCTTGTGCATCTCTGCGAAGGACGGCACACACAAATCACAACGGCCTGTGTTCCACCGCCAGTACAAAGTACTCCGCAGGTACTTTGTGCAATAGCGAAAAGCACATGGGGGCAGAAGTACCCCGTAATTATCTAGGTACCCCAACTTGGAAGTGTTTCAAAGTGCGGCCAGAGTAATGAATGGGCGGGCGCCAGGGCGAAAAAGGGTCAACGGTGGAAAGAAGGAAAGCTCGGGCCACTCGCTATTGTCTCCAACATCCATCATCATTATCATCATCATCATCATCGCGATCTCGTACAGAAACCACACCTAAGCACATTTCCTTCCTGTTTTTCCTGTCGCTGCGCATCTAGACGAGCCATAATGTACCGGCACAGTGTTTCCTAATGCCAGTCAGCATTCAGGCTTTCTATGCCTTGTTTCTATTTGTGGGCGCTCGCAAGTCGTCGTCCTTGAGGAGGTTGGCCAGCTCTCTCGGTTGGGCAAAGCCAGTCATTGCCCGGATGCCCACCAAGACCACCCACCACCACACCCGCGAAAGCTTAAGTTAGGTCGTTCGAATGCTCAGCCCAAGCCGGGGGTGTAGTAGCAGGCTGGCCTGGGATGGCCGTTGCCTGTCAGAAGTGGCTTGTCGCCACCATATCTGATGGCGAGTGAGGCGTACCCACGAGACTGCTTCTAAAACGAAAGAAACCAACGACACTGCCAGTTCAATAATATCTGTCCAATGGGAGCGCTGTATTGCTTCAGGGCTGCGGCCAGCCCATTGTCTAGAGGCCCGCATTCTTTCCCAGGGAAAAGCTAATAGGGGATCTGGTCTCAGTGCCAGCAATCACCTTCATTCTTACAAACTATGGAAACAGAACGCATCGCACCATACTTGCGGCGACAGATAAGCGTCTAAAAAGGATGTCAGGGTCGTCCAGTTGATCCGCTATGTGAGCCTGAAGGCAGTCGGAAACCATTGTGGGTTCAAGCCCAAAGCCCAGCAACAATATGCTTGTGCTACATGATTGGGCACAGCCTCGACCACCCATCACGGCCAGTTGCAACGAATAAAGAGGCTCGAACCACTTCACTGTTTGAGGTGTTGTGAAGACAATTCTGACCGTGGCCCCTTCTGCAACCGTTCTGTAACAACGGCGTTGGCACATCTCTGGTTTCGACTTCTAGTAGGATTTTTGTCTGCGCGTCTTGTAACGGAGGACAGTCCGTCACGACGGCCTAAGATACTGTCCGAAATCGACTACAACGGAGGATGCCTTCCTTCGATGATCTAGAGATGGAGTCCCTCCGATGTTGGGTTGGGTTGTGATGACACAGCCGACGCTTAGCTTGGATGAGGATCCTGCTTTTGCCCCTCTGTCCCTATTTTGGGCTTGAGTGGACACTAACATGACTGTTCGCTTATCGGCTTTGGCGACCTTGGATGGGTGCATATGAAGAACAAGACGGTCTGGTCACGGCCATGATTAAATACAGCTTTCCTCAACGCAGAAATTATCGTCTTCGGAAGCGATGAACAGCCACCAACCCGAAATATCTTTTGATGCCACCGCCACTCGGTGCAGGCCCTCTTTTTTTCCCTGTTCCCCGATGTTGCGGCTGATCATCAGACTACTCAGTCCAGGGCGAAGGTAGGTGGATGATATCCGGGGGTTTAACGCCTCGCGCCCAAGTATTCTTTGACGGCGAGTCTTAGTCGGACCCTTCTCGTCCATATTGCTCTGGGCGAGAGCACGTCCCTTTGATGAGTCTCAAGTCCCATCCCTCGCGTGCCATTCGGCGATGTGCCATACAAGAACTTGTCTACAAATCATAAACGCATTTTCTGTGCTACACTTGATCCAAACGCTGCGTGCGCACCGTGTACTCGGCTCTAAAGCTGCCAGATTTTCGAAAATTCCTAATGAATGCAACTAACAGGAGGCTAGTCCGAACTGTCATGACTCTCACGCTGGAAATTTCTACCTGCCCCGTCGACCACGACGCATCGTGAGGTCTGCCGCGGGCGGCAAATGGCCAGAGGGTGGGCTGCAAGCATGGCCACCTCCACACCACTTTGATCACACCATGCATGCCGTATTGGCAGCATCTGCGAATCACACGTCGCAAATGCACACATAAAGGTACTTGAGTTGCTTCTACAATGTCGAATGGTGGCTTCCCTGCCGTTGCATCGCAAGGCCCGCAGCCAGACCGACTTTTGAGTTTTCATCGCCGCCGAAGCGAGTTTAACTCCTTTGGTTCCCAGACAGACCAACGTGCATCCTGATGTTCACAGAAAAGAGAGGCTGGTGATATCCTTGACTTGAAGGGAAGAAATTTGATGAGTCACTCAAGTATCAACGTAATGGTGTGCTGATACATCATGGACGGCATTCACAGTGCGTCATGTGAATGCTCAATCCCTCTGGAATGTCTTTGAATCCCATTAAAATCAAGTCGGATGGATCTGACCCTTGGCTCTGCGCAACCTGTTGTGCGGCCCAGACCTCCCTTGACAGACGAGCCTCCTCCACTTTCATCACTTGGTCGAGATGACGCGCATGTTTCTCCTGCTTTTGGCGCGCCTTGGACGAGCCGATATATCGTTCTGGTCGCAGATAGAGCCCGAGTGTTCTCATGGCACTTTTTGTGCAAAGCATTTCAGAGGGGGTTAAAACAGGCATTGTGCCAAAGTCGTCTGATGTGGTGATGCGTAGGGCATGTGCGGCATCACGAGAGTTGCATCTATCAAACGTCAACTTCTTTGTGCTTTGACCGTCGCTCTTGGCTTCCTCGGATTGCTGAGAACTGGAGGATGGTAAAACAGTTATGATACGTGGCTTTATCATGCTATACGCCTGTGTGGTGTGTGCCTTTTGTCTCCTCGCCCATTTAGCTGCCTAATAAAGGGATCCTCCTCTCAAACAAACGACCTAGCAACAGTAGAAATGGGATTACGGATTATTGAAACAAGACGATGGTAGTCCAAAACCATCGGATCAATGCACGTCATCTTCCTCGCTTAACTGGGCCGGCTGGGCCGGTTTCTCATACCAACCACGTTTCGTTTCGTCCATCACATGATGAACCCAGCCCGCTCTCCAGGGCGGAGTACCGACTATCCCTTTGAATGTGTTAAGGTCCATTTTTCGTACCGGGCAGGGGTTCTGGCCAATGAGAAAAACCGTGTTAAACGGTACAAAGTCTTACTAAGAAGTAATGTGATAGTGTAAGTACCAGTAATATTTAAATTTACAAAGAGCTACATCTTCCTATCGTGGCAGATATGATTACCGAAGAAGTGCCTGTTAGGTATCGCAGAAAAGTGGGTCCAATACCTCACTTGGACCTTTAACACACTCAAAGGGATAGAGTACAGCGGTACGGAGTACAGCTGCTACATTTCACCTACTCGTCTTGTCAGCAAATGGACTTGATATAGGCCCTTTCTTTCTAAATCATCTGTAACAAGAGGAGAGCCCCTCATTTGTTTGGAACTGAATACCCGGGCTAATACGGAGTAGCATGAATTACCTCTGAATCATTATACACTACTTCATTCCAGCAAGTCAACATTGCGACATCCCGTCCGCACTGTCCAAATACTACCGCGAGCTGCAAGGACCCACATACTATTTACGGACGCGGGGTGGCTTTCCCACGCGCCACATGTGACGTCGTGGTGGCTGGCTAAACTTACCAGCCACAAGGGTGCGCCGCTGCTGGCACGCATTGCTGGAATGGGACGCGCCGGCAGGTGGAGCCCCGCGGGTCGCTTTTCTGTTGGCCAAAGGGAGCGCAGGGAATGGATTTGGCTGGTAACTGGTTGATGGAGCGATGCATCGAGGCATCAGGTAAAATATGCATTGTCCATGTCGGTCGTGATGCGTTGTCCAGTTTTCACGCAGGCCCATCTCAACAGGTCTCTTGGATGCCGCTTTCCCATTCTCTGCAGAGTAAGAAACCGTGCAACACAACACAGCAGGATGTGCACTTGGCCGGCTAATTTTTTGGCTGCCAACACCTGCAGACCTGCGGTATCCAAGGCCTGGCCGGACGCTACGTTGTAAATCCCGCCCTGTGCTTTATAGCCCCTGATAATCCCTGTTTCTTGATAGGAGCTACAAATACTGTGGCAGCGAGGTCGTCGCCGTGTCGCGGTCCACTTGCATTCCCGCGCGTCAAAATCGAACAAATTGGTGCAGATGGAGCCCTGGAATAAATAGCGACTGAGGACTTTAATGTAGGAGTCGACCAGTGGATACATAATAGATTGTGGGGCACAAGAATTGAGAATTGTACTACGCCATGCACATCGGTCGTTGGTTAGTCGGCTATCATAGGATGTGACCAGGCGTTGACAAATGGCTAAGATCAGTAGTAGCTTTTTACATGCGCTGAGTTAGCCAGGTATCTGTATCTGCCTTTCCTGAATGTACATTATCTCGTAAGCCATAGTAGATACGCTCTGTTCACGCAACTGGCTATGGTATGCCGTCAGTCATTTTCCCGAGCCACAATTGTAGTTACTATGCCAGGTACGGCCTCACATACCATCATGTCTTATCTCACTCTTATGGCACGTCCCGCATCCATTCATCACATTAACATTCACATACTTGCCATGCCTCTGATCCTTCTGACATCGCCCGCGCTGCTCCTTGGTGTAGATGGATTCGCACCACCCGGGACAGGAACGGGACCAAATGTAAAGCCTCCGTCACCATCATCTCCCGGGACCGGTGAGAAACCACTCATCCCATTTCCAATCATGATACTACGCCGTGCTTCACCACGGTCCCAGCCCTGGCCCGTAACATCTGCACCGAGCCCGTAGCTGCTAGTCGGACGACGAGGCGACCCTGATGCTGCTCTTGTGAACGAATCTACCCGAGCAAAGTTCCATTGACCAAATTCGTCACTCTTAGTGAAGATTTCTAGAGTCTGCGTTGGGGGAGAACTACCGGCTGCCTCTGCGAACAGACTGTGGGAACTGAAACGGTTCGGACTGACAGCATTTGAAAAGTTATGGCGGACGGGAGACGCCATATTGCCAAAATTTTGACGGGTAAGGGACAATACGTTCTTGCGGGTAGGGGGCAATACGCTGCCAAAACTTTGATGAGTAGGAGACGATGGGCTGTCAAGCCCTTGACGAGCAGGGGGTGACAACGGGATGGGGAACTCTGGAGGTGAGACTCGAACCGACGGTATCATAGGTGCGGATGAGTTGGACAAGGTTCGAACTCGCCCCCCAGCAAAACCTGCCATTGGAGGAGGCAGGTACTGCAACTGCTCTGGGAACTGTTCGTCAAGCACATAGAGTCTGCGCAGTCCAGGCAGACTCCCTGCCAACACGCAGTTTGAAAGGTAGGAATAGTACCCCTGCGTCGCAAACGGTCCCGCAGAAGGTGTACCTGTTATTTCATATCGGAGTGTCCTCAACCCCCTGTGCATTAGTGGCTGAACAGGCTCGTTGGGAGGAAATTGTTCTGAAACCTTGGACTGAATGGCCAAAGTCTTGAGCGACGGGGCCACTGCCAGCACTTCTTGAAGCTTCCAAGGTTGAATGCCTGTATCTTTGAGGGTCAGAACCTTGAGGGCTTGCGATGTCTCTTTCAAGGATAGGTAGTCCACGAGCCCGGCTGATGTTAGACTGGGCGTATCCTTGAGAATCAATTCCTCCAGAGCAGGTAGAGGAGGCAGGTTTTCGTCAGCGACCAGAACGTCATCTGAAAGGCTATATGTTTCCGAAACCTTGAGAGCGCGAAGCTCAGGCAAGCAAGACAAGACGGCCCTTAGTATATGCGGGTCAATCTTCAAGCCAGTCAGCTCCAACACTTCAAGATCTGGCCAAATTTGACCCGAAACCAGCGTAACGAAACTGCGCTCCGCGCCGCTCGCATATGTCGCCTTCTTAATGAAGGGGCACTTTGCTTGGACTTCTAGTCGCAACGTCGTATATGCAGGGTCGTCGCAAAACATACCCTCTGGGAGGTCGACATATTGGAGCATGGGTAGCTTAGCAATCATCTGTGCTAATTCTACATGGCACGACTCTCGAATCATGTATGGAGTTTTGAGAAATTGAACCAGACTACCGATTTTGGTGGGATTCTCGCGGACGGTTCGGCGCAGTAATTTCAATCGCGCAAGCGCCGGGTCTTCAGGAATCCCATTTTTATTGAATCGGGATTTTTTCTTCCGTTGCTCCGCCAAGAAAGCCTCCATTCTGCAATAGTGAACGGGATCGATTCGAACGCTGTGATATCTGCAGGCCATGCACAGGTTAGTTTTGATGGTCCTCAGAAGCAAGCGGCTTGAATACAAACGTACAGGACTTGAAGGGCAACTTTTCGCCATTTCTTGTTTATCTGTGTGCAATGCGACAGGTCTCGCACGTCACAGAGCATACAGCCTTCGTCATTCGCACTTTCTTCACACGTTTCATAGCTCTTATCCAGTGCCAGCGGGCAGACAGAAGCGAAAATCCGGTGAAGGACCGTATCCGGCAGTTGGGCCAAAATCCTCGCCGAGAGTTGTGACGGCGGGAAGCGCAAAGAATCAACTGCGGCGATGGACCGAAACTCAGCTGGCACAGGCGATGTCGGGCCGTCCCGCTTCTTGTCTTTCTTCCTGAATGGCAGTCTCATGATGAGCAGCTACTGGGAAAAGAAAAGTTGGTATTTGCCCTGGATAGCCCACCGTATGGAGATGGTTGATGTCCAAGGGAGCTTGTGAGCTTGCATCGAGCGGTGGTGGTGGTGGTGATGCCGATGCTCAGCTTTCGCGACTTGGATAAAGAGGATGATATGACAGGGTTAAATACAACTTTAACGCCGGGGCCTATATTCGTCTCGGGAGGCAAGGCTCTTTTGTCCAACGCGAAAACATGTCTGTTCTCTTGTCCAGTCGCCGTGTTGTCTGTCTCGCCATCAAACAAACGACTGGACGGGACGAGGTGGCAGCTGGGTGGTATTCTGTGGTGCCTTGGGCTGTGGCGGCTGAGGGGCGCCCCTTCCTCGCCAGGAGGGCTCTAGCATCCGTTCCTCGACGCCCAACAGGCAGGTTCGCACGGCTGTGGCGCGCCTTCCGTTTGGCTGTAAAAGAGGTGAAATGGTGCCGTGTCAGGTGAAAGTGACAAAAGAGAATATCGCCGCCAACAAGACACGACGATATGGGCGTCAGGCGCAAAGTGCGTGCATGTGCCTGTGCCCGTGCATGAGTGTGGGTGTGGTAATGAAGGACGAGAGGATTGATCAACACTGGACCAGGGACTCGAGGCAGCGGCAACCATCCATATCCATGTCGTGCCCCAGAATGCCCGGCTCGCGAGCGCTTACGGGGTAAAGCGACAGATTGATGAACCATCACCAAGCCATCCATCCATTCATTCAAGGCCACACTCCAATAAACCACCAACACTGCCACATGCATATCGCTCACTCAATACGGCTATCAGCGGGGAACAGAGCCAAGAATTATTTTTTTGTTTTTTAGGCCCAGGGGCAAAGCCTCCTCCCACTTCAAGTTTTTTTGCTGGTGCGGGGGGACTGCGAGTCGAGTGAGCCGGGGTCACATACAGGCTCCAACAACACGTCGCCATCTGGTGCACTACCCACCTCTCTGCCTGGTCTTTTCTTTTGTCGACGCATCCGCGCATGACAGGTCCTCATTCCAAAATATCAGCTGCCAACCAGTCCACACTCGAATTTATAGCCATATGTGCAATCCCTTTTATTAGCACCTTCTATAATTGCGATGCATGCTCCAAGCCGGGAGCGCGCTCTTATGCACCAGTTGTACAGAGGCCGACAGAATAAAATGATCCAAGTCGCAATCCGTCGTCTGCAAGCCCGTCGCTCTGCCTTGCGGTTCGCAACTCAGCCCAGAGACTCTGTCCCAAAACTGACTGTCCTGCCATGCCAAAACCTTGAACCCAAATGCGAAACCGTATAAACATTCATCAGCCGGCCTCCCGCTGTCATGACTGTCAAAGACGTATTAAGTACCACCCTCGCTAGGGCAGTGTGGATCGTGAACTTCGCTACCAAGTTCCACGCCCATCCAATTCCTCATTCTCCTTGTATTATATCCTCCCCAGTTTCTCCAATAAAAAGAATAGATAAGTTCACTTTTGTACAAGCAAAGCAGAAAATTATTCAACAGTGGCCATCAGAGGAACTGAGTGTGAGTGGCCAAGAGTTCAGCTGTTTGCAATCTGGAAAACACCCTAGGGACAACCACAGTCGAAACTATATGTCTGAACTGTGTCTTCCATCTCTGCAAGCCACAAGCCTGTGCAAGTACTTCCACGTTTATGTAGCACATGGTTCGATGGTACGCTTAAGCCTTGCGGGAGCGAGTGGTGGCACCGTTAGCCTTTGCCCCAGTGGTGGTGGCACCGTTGGTGTGGCCGTTGCTCTTGCCGCTGGCAGCGACCGCAGCCTGGACGTGCAGAGGGTCGGGAAGGGGAGCCTGGGACATGCGTCGCAGAGACTTGCGCGTGGTGCTTTTACCGCCCTTCTTGTAGGTGGCAAAGTAGAAGGAGATGAAGAGGACCAGATACGAGCTGAGGATGGCAATACCAGAGAAGGCGGCAAATTCCTCACCAGCGCACTTGCCGGCATTTGGCAGCCATGGGAAGTAGGTCGACGTGAAGTAGGTGTATGAGGCGAAATATACAAAACCTAGATGTCAACACATTAGCAAACAGTCGCCCCCCGCCTCATGTGCACGCTTTACTCACCAAGATCAATGATGAACTGGATGATCTGGAGACGAGTGACCCACTCCTTCCACCAAATGCGGATGCCTCGAGCGCTCTGGAAGTAATACCAATACATGACGACGTGAACAGTCAGGTTCAGGGTGATGGGAACCCAGGAGACAGAGGTAGAGCCAATGAGCTGAGTATAGCAGAGAAGAGCAGTAGCACCGTGGTGGTAGCAGTGGAGGAAGGCTGTAGGCACAAGAGGTTAGCAATGTCGCGCGAATGGTTTCCCTTCACAATTAAGAATAAACATACTCAACGGCTTCTTTTTCAAGAAGAGGAACACAGTGTCCAACAACTCAAGATACTTAGTCAGGTAGTTTAGCTGTGGCTTGGGTTAGCAAGAACTGAAGCACACGTGCCAGTGTAATCTAATCGGACATACGTAGTACAAGACAACCATGGGTTGAGTCCAACCGCCATCATAGTGGCAGATGGCATGGAAGACACCATTATGGTAGAGTTCGGGAACCAATTGTTCAATGAAGAGGACCAGGAGAATTCCGCTGATGGCAGTGAGGTAGAAGTTGTGAATGAGGAACAGAGCTTTGAGCTTGAAGGGCTCACGGCTTCGCATCAACTCGCGGCCACCAAAGATGATGATGTAGTAAACGACGATGAAGATAGAGGTCGACTTGAGGGTCGACATGGGAGTCTCGAATGGCACAAAGTTGAACTCCTCGGCCGGATATCCAACAACGGCCTCCCAGGCCTTGCTGAAGATGGGCCATAGATGGACACCGAAAGGACGGTCGATCGTAGGCAGTGGGAGCTGCTCAAGGAAGCCGGACATGTTGCCACTTGGGGACCGAGATGAAGCTAGCAATGGTAGCAGTTCGATTTCTGGGATATGGCAAAGCGCAAAGGTCGAGGCGTCTTGCGCGTTGATTTGATGCACTCGACAAAGGTCTGAAAAGAATTCAGTTTTGGGCGGCGTTGCAGCGACGCGACAAAGAGTCTCCGATTCCAAGGCGCGGACGCGGCGGGTCACACAAGAACAGAAACAAGGAGTGACTAGAAGAAACGGAATGGCCAACGGCCCTTTGCCAACAAAAAAGCAATCAGCCGAGGAATTGATAACGTACACAAGATGACGGACGTACCGGATAATAAGGAAGGAGAAGAGGGAGAGATGGAAGGGGAGAGGAGAAAGGAAAACGAGGATGACGAGGAGGCACCGAATCAAAGACGGCCGAAAGCCCGCATCAAAACTGGCTCGCGCTCAAAAAGGGGAAATTTCGTTCCCGCTTCCAATTTGGCTCTTTGCACATCTACCAACCCGCATGTGATTCGTCGGGGGTTGAAGTGCCGTCCAATCACCGGTCCCTGTCCGCAGGTTTTCGCTTTCTTTTTCGAGATACATCACGTGAACCGGGATAGGGAGCTGGTGGAGGCTCGGCTTCTTCAGAAGTACTAGGTAGTTACCTAGCTAGGTGTCTTGAGCTCTCGATAATTAACAAGGGCCTAGTTAGTAGCATTGGTATGGAGTACCTGGATAGCTGGTCCTCTGCTAACGTCTGTTTGGCATTAGCTGTCTTGGAATTTGAATTGGATTTAAATGACTCTGCGGAGGTTACTGGTAGGGCACGGATTGTCTGGGGGGACCTTGACCTCGGCGTGAAAAAATTGCCGTGCTTTCTAAATTACAATCCTTTGAGTGTGCTGTCTGTCTACATTAAGCTCAGGCAAGTGGCCGTCGTGTTGTTATGACTCTGACACTGAAGAGGGAGCAATCTCAGACAGGAGATACAAGACAAGTCGCTTCCTGTCGTGCAAGGACTAAGCGGCCGACAGCATGGGAAAGGATGATGATTATGGGATATGACCTCGAAACTACCACCTTGCGGAGTGCATTAAAGAGGATGGTTGGCATAACTACTATTCTATCCTCGGGGCTAATGCCCACGACGTCGGACGCGGGCCGCACTCCATAATGCTATCAGTGCGGCTGTCGGAGGCGCAAACCAATTAGGTAGCTCAAAGTCCTGAAGTCGGACTCTCCGTGACTTGTGGCCAGAAAATTGAGGTTGCAAGGCTCGGAATCAACGGGCAGCCGACTTCAAAGTTGATCAGAATGGTTGATGCGCAAACCGGCCTAGTCAGAGCCAGTCAAACGGGAATGAACGACGAATGGACACGAATGGACCACTCGTAGCCGTGCCAAAGGCGGTTGCTTTGCTTGCGACGAATTGGAATCGGGCAAAATCAAAGCGTTGTCAACGAGACAGGTCGACTCACCGTATCCGTGAACAGAAGCACTGTAGAATCCTCGATCAACTTGCACCTACTTCGCGCTACATAAACCCAATTCGCACGGTTCCACTACCCTGTCCCAGGATCAGCCAACCAGGGGCTTAGTCATTCACATCAGCCCATCTGCTTCCGAACACCTGCAGCCAAAGACCATGGCCCAAAAAAACGCACAACCGCCCTTTGAGTTCCACATCACCACCATCGACAACAACCTCTTCTTCTCGCCGCAACCCTCCTCAACACAGCTCCCACGATGCCCTCCGCCTCTATGCTCCGCGTTGTCGCTCGCGGCTCAACCACCTTCTTCCGCGCCACCGCTCGTCCCGCCGCCCAGCCCCTGATGGCCCGCGCCTTCAGCACTTCAATGCCCCGACGAGGCGAGCACGCCGAGGAGACCTTTGAGGAGTTCACTGCCAGGTGAGCCATTGCCTTGTCTCCGCATACGTGGCTGCAGCTACCGAATTGTATACGGTACTGGTTCGTTTTTTGTTTGTGCCGTTTTCTGCGCGGAGCATACCCGGAATTGCCGATGTCCGGATACTTGCGATGACGCGAAGAAGCCTAGCTGGCCGGATGCGCGCAATATTCTTGCCGCGCTGCAAATTTCAACTCCCCATGCTGAAACACATTCCGGAAACTGCAAAACGTGTTCCGACAAGTGTCAATGGCTAATCCACGATCAATTTTAGATTTGAGAAGGAATTTGACGGCGTCCAGGATGTTTTTGAGCTCCAGGTACGTTTTTGCATGCGAGCTTTTAGCGCCGCGATCCCCCGTGCAGCCACCACCTTCCCAAAATTCGAGTCATCGCAGTCATATGATTCGTACTAATTGCCGTTGGCCAGCGCAACCTGAACAACGCCTTCGCCTACGATCTCGTCCCCTCCACCTCTGTCATTGCCGCCGCCCTCAAGGCCGCCCGGAGGGTCAACGACTTTGCTACTGCTGTCCGCATCTTTGAGGGTACGTCTGATGCCGTAACCAATTGACATATCAGTGCATCACTCAGCGGCTGGCACTGCACCCAACTGCCTGCACAGGATGTCCATTGCTACCCCTAGGTACACGTCATGTTCTTTAGCGTCTGACTCGGCATCTCCATTTAGGCGTCAAGGCCAAGGTCGAAAACAAGGGCCAGTACGACCAATATCTCAACGAGCTGAAGAGCCTCCGGGAAGAACTCGGCGTTCCCCTGAAGGAGGACCTGTATCCCGAGGGGAATTAAACTCAATACCAAAATATATCCAGGACTCTAAGAGCAGGGAAGAAGAGATGCCGTTGTGGGGGGCGATGTTTCTTGTAAAGGAGTAATTTGTTTGCCACCGCGGGGTCGAAACAAATCATTTTGTACATGTTATTCTAGGCGGGTCGACGGGGGGACAAAGATAGACCGGGGGGGTCGGTTGTTCTGACAAAGGGAACAAGCCGCAATCCAGTGTGTTATATTATAATCCATATTGGACGGTACCATCTGTGCAGTAACCGGTTCTTCAATTGTAGCCATCACAATTCGATATGTTAATGTTGTCATCACACAGCTGCTGTAGGAGAAAGCAATATCGATTACACCGATCCTTAAAATAGGCGCTGAGTAAGAATGACAATCAACTGCATTGTTTTGATTGTTCAGAGTGGTAGTTACTGTCACTGCTCTGTGTGAGGTGAGTTCAGGGCCAAAAGACAAAGAGTGCTTGTATCCTCTGTTCCGTCCTTGCCCACACAACACACTCTTTGCACATCAACAACCCTTGCAAGCGAGCGTCGATTTAAGAAGATCCATCACAGACTCTCAAATTCTCTGCTTGTGGGACCCAATATTCGCAGTTGTTGAAGGACGCAAGCCGAGTGACAGTGCCAGCTCGCCCACCACGTGATCAGCTTGAACCCTGGCAACCCATCCGTCTTCAAGCGTGGGGTCCAGTCGAGCTACCGCTAGTACCATCTTCATTCAGCCTTGCCGTTGGGCTGCGCGGATCGACTTACATCGACCCTGCATCCACGCGTTGCGCCAGACCAAACCGCCAGCCTCCTGGTCTCTGTGCGCACCTCTGTGCGGCTTCCTTTGCTGTGGAAGTTTCATATCCGCCCATCGGGCAACTCATATACTGCCCGCACGGCTGCTTACCACCAGGTCAATGCCCAGACCACGACGTCCTCAACCTCGCAAATCGAAGTCGCGGCGCACCGTCGACACCTCGGACGACAACGACTGGTATACAATCAGGAGCATTCTAGACGAGCGACTTTTAAAGGATCGTGTAGAGTATTTGGTCGACTGGGACGACATTAAAAAGACAGGAGAAGCATACTCCCCCACCTGGGTATGTTCTCATCGTCCTACCGGGAAGCTCCCTTGTACAATTCTAACCACCTGTCTGGCGCTCTAGAGCCGAGAAGTTACAGAAGCAGCCCGAAACGAGTGGGAGCAGAGAAAGCGGTCACGCGTAACTGAAGCGACTGAGGTTCGGACTCAAGGTAGCCAGGACAGCCAGCCGCCTCGACCGTCTAACTGGCGACAGCTCCAGAGATCCCAGACAGGTGGCCCGTCTGGCGCATCTCGTCGTCGACGATCTCCTTCTGACGGCGTCGACACCCTTCGCCCTGTCAAAGTTGCTAGAGTCGCATGTAGTGCCACTCCGTCCGAGGAACCTGTACCATCTATTGTATCTATATCCTCGCCTGATAGCCTTGACGACCCTGACGGCCTCGATAGTCTTACGCAACAAAGCTTGCACGCCCCGCGCTCTCAGGATCTTGTTGTTGAGCTCGGGTTAAAGTCGGACTTTGACCCATCAGAATACGCTAGCCAACAGAATACCCATAGCAGCAGCCAGTCGTCGCAGTCAATTGCTGAGTTGGAAGAACAAGACGAGCGGAGTCTCTTTGCCTCTCAGCTTTCCCGACAAACTATTCCTGATTCGCAAGAGCCTTCTGGACAGACCTGGACGCAGGATAAGCAAGTCACTAGCTTTGCACCATCCTTACAGGCTTCACAGGGTGGAATATCTGAGCACGAGCCTCAAATTTATAGTTGGGCTCAGGCTTCTTCTCAGCCTGCTGGCTCTAATAAGGAACCACCCATTTCACCTCACCAGGGTAGTTCCAATTACAGAGACGAGGAAAAGAGCGACCTGGATCAATCCAACGACAACATCCCATCTCATCAGCCTGGCCAGGCAGAAGCGCAGTCGCTTGTTGCGAGCCAAGACTTTGACCTAAGGACACCTGCAACAAAACCGCAGTCTGTTCGGTCTCCACAGGGAAACGAGGATCTTGCTGCTATCCCTACCAGCAGTCCTGTGTTTCTTTCCCAAGTGGTGGCATCTGAATTGAATCTTTCTATCTCTAGCCAAGAATCTCCCCATAAAAGTACAGTTGTCGAGACTCCGTCAGACACCAAACAAAACTCGGCCAGCACTTACCCACTGACTACTGATTTTGCTGCAGAATTAACTCGGGCCCAATCTGAGGGCGAGTCTCAAGACGCCCAGGTGCTCCAAATTGACCCGTTTGTCTCGCATGTAAGGGCCTTTTCTGTCAGCCACGACACGGCCCACGCATCACCCACATCATCTCCTCCCCAAATTGAGTCACAACCTTCGCCCGAGCCTCCTTTCGCCATCGCAATGGAAAATCATAATGCAAAGGACTCCGCAAACCCGACGCCACAGCCATCAGCTGTTGATGAACTGAGCCAAATCCTCAACTTGGATAAGGTCATGGCTGAAGGTCCATCACATCCTCCAGAAGAACACTCCGCTGAACACTCTGCGCCTGCCGAGATCCCAGCTACCAACCAAAGTCTTCAGGACCACTACCAGCAGCCTTCACCTTCTGAACATGAACTTGCAGGCCCTCAAAGTGAGCAACTAGCATTAGATACCCCCTTGGTTTCCCAGATTTCTGCCGTCTTCTCAATAAAGAGTATCTTTGACACAATTTTTGCAAATCCAGATTTACCTGCCTCTCGCACAATGATGCCGGACGTGTTACATAATCCTCAGCCTGAGTTGTCCACCATCTCACTGGCAGATATCTCCAAACAGCCCGATCTCGCTGCTCCATTACCTCTAATGCCATCACTACTTGCTCCCGACAACCTTTCCTCAAACGCCACGAGAAGCTCTGGCGTGTCTGTCCCAATGGGACAGCCTCAACAAGACCAGGAGTCAAGCGACGATTCTGGTGATGGATCTCAGGAACCCATTACACTGAAGCACATAATTACACTGCCTTTCCAGGCCAGTCTGAGGCCACTGTATGATGACACCTTGCTCCAATCAAAGCGGGAGGTAACTCAGTTTGGCGCCATATTCAATAGCGAGGACTATGTGGAGCCAGACGATACTCTCGTCCAGAAAATTGACCAAGTATTTAGTCGGCTGCACAATATCTGCGACTATCCCCCGGATGCAGTGGGTAGCGCTCTTGAAGATTTACCTTCTGACCAGCTCATCAAATATTGCTACGATGCGAACCCCAAGTTCAATTTTATATATGAACTCCTGCAAGGGCTTACTCAAGATACTGAAGTTCTAATTGTAGCCAGGTCTACTGATCTACTCAGGCTCCTCTACCGCCTGACCGAGACACTGCAAATCAACTGCGTCTGTGAAGAGATTGGTAAATCTAAGAGCGGGTTTACTTCATCTATAGCCAGAGTTACTCTTATTCTTCCTGGAAAGAATGTTGAGGAAGATGACTTTGACATTGTGATTGGATATGATCACTCCTACGGTGGTTCGGAAATTGGGAAGAAGCTGGAGCCAGAGATCCCGGAAGCGCGGTCACCAATGGTATTGATACTGGTCACCACACACTCTATTGAACACATCGACCTCTACATCTCTGATGAATTGACGCCCTTGGAAAGGAAAAATGCCCTCCTGTCTGGGATAGTGCGGTCTAGACAGCTTGTGAGCGACCCCGATCGTGGATACCCAGAGCCCCACGAGATTGCCAGCTTGTTCCTCGACTATTTGAACGGACAGACCGAAGGAATCATCTGGGAGCCCATACCTGTCCCCGAAGAAGTGATGGATATCTATCTCAACTCCCAGTCACGCTCGCAGATGCCCGTCGAGGGAACACCAGAGCTTGAGACTGCTCGGAAACGCAAATTTGTGAGCTGACCCTTTCCATTTCAATGACACAATTTTGTTAACTATATATAGGACGAGTCTGATGATGAAGATGTGAAGCGGATGCGCATTTTGCCGCACAGGCAGTCGACCGTGCAGACAAACGAGGCCCCAGTACCTGATGATGTAAAGGCACTGCTGGACTCTGCAAATATCGAAAACACGCCCCTCAAGGCTTCTCGCGTTCATATCAGCGTGCCAATATCTGTCTTGCAAGTCTTGGCTGAGCAGGTATGAAATCCCACTGTATACCCTTTAAAGCAGTTAAGGCTCCAACGATGTACCTTTCAAGGATTTGGGCCAATAGGCATCTCCTGCTGATCGATACACCTATCACCACTGAAAGCCCACTAGAAAAAAAGTATCAATAATTCCGTTGCAGGGTTGTGCCGGGTGCTTCCAGGGCCTAGTAGAGAGAATATAGTCTGTGGCAGAATATATTTGCCTACCAAGAAGCACACACTTATTTACTGTAACACATCATAGTATAGAGCACGATAGCCGAGTACCTGATTTGGTCAAATACCTTTGCCTCCAACTGTACATCGTTGGAGCCTTAACTGCCTTAAAGCGATGAGAAATCCATTTGCTAACTCGTTCAGAATAATGAGCTCAAGCGTCAACTAGAGGCAGCAGACAGAGACGCAGAGTACAAAAGTCTCATCTCCGGACTCGAGGCCCGCATCAAGGAATACCAAAGAACAAACGCAAAGGTGTACTCGTCACAACGAGAGGCTCTAGAAGACCGCATCAGATTTGAGCGAGAAACCCGCAAGGCCGAGTCCAACCTTGTCCAAGCCAACGAAACGGCTCAGCGAGACGCGGAAAGGGCCCAAAAGAAGATTGCTGACCTCGAAGCAACCGTCGCCCGCCTAACTGCTGACCCTTCTCACCCAGATGAACCGTCTCCTCTATCCAAAACTCAAACCCTCCTTCAAGAATCCCTCGAGAAAATCGTCATGCTAGAAAAACGTCTCGAAAACGCCCACAAGGACGCTGACTATGCCCGTAGTCTCTACCAAGACGCAACCGCCACATCCAGTGCTCTGCGCGGCGAAAACGCTGAACTCAGTGAACAAGTCGCCGATCTGTCGAAAAAGACGCCAGAAACACTAGGCAAGGTTCACGAGATTCAGGCTGATGCCACAATTAAGACGTATCTCCACCAGATTCAGGGTCTGAGGACGCAGCTTCGCGAGCGGGAGCTTGAGCTGGATTACACCAAGGAAGAATTGCGGACATTGAGAAATGGACGCAGGGAGACTAGACAGGTCAGCGTGCCACGGAGCCCAAGGATGGGCGTGATGAGTCCGAGAACGGGAAGGGCAACATACGGCAGCGCAGGCGGTTCGACTAGCAGGGGTACGAGTCCGGCTCCTACGAGTGTCGAGGACGCGGGCGTGCTTGCGGGTATGCAGTTCTTGGGGCAGCCGGCGAATGGGAGGTGGCAGCATCTTAGGGACTGAGTGGCAGGCAGTCAGTGAGTTTGGTGTAGAATGCTCTGGATAGGAGGATTAGTGAGGTTGTTTTTTTTTTTTATTCTTGCATGCCGGCTTGGCTGATTGGCGTTTGGGTTGGACTTGTAGCCCTGCCTGTCGATATGATTTACTGGATAAATTGAAGGCTCAGCCTACAGTGGGAGGCAATCCATATTTGACCACATCAGGTGCCTGGCCATCGTGCTCCATGCTGTAATATACCACAGTATATTAGTACGTACTCCTTGATGGACAAATATATTCTGTCGCAGACTGTATATCTCCGAGATCTAGAGTCTCGATATCGAATTTAGATTTCGTCTTGATCGACCAAACCTGGTGTAGGGTAGCTTGGCATCGCGAGCTGCGTCAAATGCAAATCTGCAAAACCATTCCAAACAAAACAAAACGACTATACAAGAAAGGCATGCCCAATTCCACTACTACATATCCATCTATCAAAGTTGATCATATGTCCGGTGCATTATCTCGACAACTGGGGAAATCCCACGGATCCAAGTCTAGTTCCACCCAGGAGACCACCAACTTTCAGCCCCAGCACAACACTCAAACTACACATCGAACCAACGTTGGCCTCCATTCATCTTGAAACCACACTGCAGTCCAAAACCCACTGCGATGGACGCGACATCCTCATCTATACATTAATTCCCGGTCGGATAAACCCAACAGCAAGTTGCATGCAGCGGCGACCGCGACTGTTCGTACGAAATCAAGTTAAGCACATGTCGGGAGCGACAAACCCTCAGCAATCTCACAATGTCGGCCGCATTCTCAATACAGCCTATGGGCCGGTTCTCCGGGCAAAGCCAGCCCGTGAAAAGACCAAAGGTTTTTTTGGTTGCGATGTCTATTTGTGTCCGTCCGCCTAGCCCGGCTAACTCATCCAGGAATTTGCCTGCTTCTCATACGATGAGAACCATGAGTTTCGCCTCGATGACTCTTCCATGAAGTATTACTACACCCCGCAGCTAGGAGCAGACCTGTCCAAGGGCTTCAACACATTCCAGAAACTAGATGACTCGGGAGACGAGCATCTGGACAGCTTGCTAAAAACCATCTTGGCGCACGAAAGGAAGACTGGGAGGAAGATTGATGCGAATGTAGTTACGTGGCGGGGCATGATGACCAAGGTATGTTTCTTTCCACAATCCGTTTTGTCCATGTATATACGATACTGACGAGGCAGATTATGGCGGCACTCTTTGAACAACAGGATGGGTGCGTATCATGCTGTGCCATGTCTGAAAGCTAACTAACAGGCGTAGTTTTGAGATGAATGCCACTTTGTACCAGGATTGCATGTGCGTATCCCACATCAAGATCTAGGCACAGCAGCTCACAAAAATTAGCTTCATCGAAGAAAACAACGAGTATAAACTCCAGTCGCGAGCCAAGGAAAACCATCGCGGGCCCCGACGCGGCCCGCCTTTGGAAGTCATGCAATATTGGGGTATCTCTCTGCCTCTCCCCCCTCGTTCCTTTTCTTGTCCTCTTCACGCAAGAATACAGAAACTCACCACCCCCCTCCCCTCCAGGCTACAAGTTTGAAACCCTATCCACGCTGCCGAAAATATGGGCCGAAACATCAAGAGAATACATTGAAAACCGCGAGAATCAAGTCGTCAACAACAAGGAACAATACTGCTCCGTCGTACGCACCGGCATCGGAAACACCGTCCTCTGTCTAGGCGGCGAGGTAGACGCAAGCATGTTCTCTCTTCCCTGAACACATGTTCCCCCCAAAAAAGAACACTACCCTGACAAGAAAACCAGTATGGGACTCCAAACCCCTTCCCGGCCAGCCCATAAACTGGGTCGAACTCAAAACCACCGCTGAGATACGCTCTGCCCATGACATGGACAACTTCCACCGCAAACTCATGAAGTTTTGGATCCAGTCGTTCCTGCTGGGCGTCCCCAAGATAATCGTGGGCTTCCGCACAAGGGACGGTATCCTGGTGGACGTCAAGGAGATCGAGACGCACAACATTCCGCAGACGGTAAATTCGAGGCAAGGCGCGCAGTGGAATGCAGACATGTGTGTGAATTTTGCGGGCGAGTTCCTCGAATGTAAGCCCACGTCGTGCTCTTCTCTTTGGATTTTTCTTTTCTCCCCTCCCTTCTTCATCTTGTTGATATTGCTTTCTCCTGTCCTCTTCGGGCTTTGGTCCGTCACTGTGTGTTCCCACACGGCACATGAAAACTCGCTGACAGCCCCGGAATTCATCCACAGTTCTTCAAAATACAATCAACGACGAGGGCGTCTGGCGCATACGCCGCCACCCAGCCTCCCCCACAATCGAAGTCTTCAAAGTTGAAGAAACAGGCCACGGCAATATTCTCTCCGAAGAATTCAAAAATTGGCGAATCAAGCTATCCCTCGGCCCGAGCCCAGAACCGTAACCCATGCGCACACGCCTCTAGCAAGATGACTCTAGTCATGGCTAATATCTACCGTTTGTCTTGTCGAAAAAACAAACCACCATATGTAAGGTTGTGTCACACGATATGCAGGTACCTAAGAACGATTAATACGTTGAATGAATACCTGAGTACCCATCTTGGCGTACCCAAGATTTGAATCACAATATAAAAGCATGACAAACACATTACAAGATGAATCATGGAATGAGGCAGGAATTGTGTGCAAGCGATTTATTCACACATTCTACCTAGATCTACCTACAAATCCAAAGCACAAATTCCCAACCCTCAACGCCATGATCCGGTGGAATCCCATAAAACAGCAAGCAATATATCCACATTACCACCAAACGGCAGCCACGGAACCTGCCATTTGTACATGGAACTTTGTTCATACATGTCTGCATCCCGCATGTTTGTCCATGTCTCAAACACATGCTGCAACCATTTTATGTTTTCCGAGCCGGGCTATGCAAAGTCGATGCAGTCGCGCTACTCAAATCGTACACTCAAGGGTATTCATGCCAAAAAGAAAGGGAAGATGAGAAAAAGAGAGAAAAAGAGCAAGCGGGCTGACAGACCAAAACGAAAGTAGAAACATCTTCATGCCCTGCATGAACAGGTGCATTTCATCCTCCATTGCCGTGAATTAGTACTCCAGGCTGAATCTCAGCCGGCAAATATCATTTATACAGCTGGCCAGCGAATGCGGAGGTTATCAGCCCATCGTTGATATAGAACATCAGATAACTGCTTGCAGTGTTCCATGCCACTTCGTGCATCACGTCCGGGATACTTTTCCTCGAGGAGGGCCGACTTCTCCCTCTCAAGTTCCTTATCTGCCAGACTGGTTCGGGGAGACTCGGCTTGGCGTCGACGGTGGCTCTTGAGATGGGGATTGTTGGAACTGAGGATCAGTTTGGTGGGACTAGCCAGGGAAGGGGCAGAGCTCTTGACAATGACTGTTCCCATGGGAGTTCCGTCGTCTGGAGCTTTCTGAATCGGCTGCCGTAGAAAAGAGGCATTGAGCTTGTTGTCTTGTGACATGGATGCAACGAGATTGCTCATGAGATGATATGCCCCCTCTGGGTCTACAGCATCCAGGGCCGCAAAAGCGTCCGACAGTTTCGCTAGAGCCTCCCTCTTTTGCATAGCGGACGTCTGAGCATGTAATTCAGCCAGAGTGGGTTCTACGGCCTTGTTGTATAGACGTCTGCCCAGGATGGCTTCTTTGCCGTAAGGCTCGACAGGCGACGCAATAGGTGGGGGAAGGTTCTCGTCGCGGAAAACATCATCGGGTGAGGATGGTCTTCCGATTTGGCCATTGGTCGAGCTGTCTGAAGGGACACGCCGGAACAGACGCATAGTCGAACCCGAGTTTCCAAATGACATGTCGGGCTGTAATGGCTTCTTCGGTGCGACTGTGGGACGCGGCGATCCGCTGGATCGGATGGAGTTGGAATGGGCCAGTGATGGAGTGCGGCGAACGGTACACTTGCGCATTGTGCCAGTTGCCGGTGATGATGGACCGAGTGGCCCCTCGGCAATGTCGAGTTTGCGCAAACCTTCTTCAGTGGCCAGCATCGACGAAGGCTTGCGATGTCTGATGGTTGGCCGCTTGGGCGGCGCGGGAGCCACCGACTTGACTGTATCAAACACCCACTCTTCGTCTTCATCCTTTGGTGATATTGTTTGTAAGGTCTCTTGGTAGTAAATGGGATGCTTCTGACGATTCTGGTTGGCCTCCCACATTTGGCGGCGGGCAATGAGTTCCTGCAGAGCTTCAACTTTCCCAGCAGAACGAATGAAACGGTGCTTCAGTAAATCTCTTGCTGAAGGCCGGCGCTCATAGTCCTTGGTGAGGCACTGAGCTACAAAGTCTTTCAAGTCTCTGCTAAAGTCGCCCTCGAGTCGTGGAGGTGCATTCTTGGGAATGTGGAAAAGAACCTTCATGGGATGAATGTGACACAGTGGTGGCTCTCCGTTGGCCATCTCCATGGCAGTAATGCCCAGAGACCAAATGTCTGCCTTGAAGCTGTACCCGTCTTGCTGAATAACTTCTGGAGCCATCCAAAACGGGGTACCGACAAAGGTGTTTCGCTGTGACTTGATGTTGGTCAATTGAGCGGCAACTCCGAAGTCTGCCAGCTTGACCTTGCCCGTTTCAGACAGTAGCACATTGGCAGCTTTGATGTCTCGGTGAATCTTGCCCTCGGTGTGAAGATACTGAATGCCCAGCAGCAGCTCACGGCAAATAATGGCTATGTGTGTCTCGCTAAAGTTTGCAGGTTTCAACTGTTGAGGGTTTGATTAGTTGATACAAATGACGCGCATGGGACACAGTCAAACGCACCAGATCTAGGCAGGAACCACCCCCTAGGTACTCCATGACAATCCAAAGCTTATGTCCCCGAAGGAACGAGCCTTTATATTGGGTCACATACGGACTGGAGCACGTGCTCAGGACGGCTATTTCCGCCTGGATGTCTTGGATGTCATCATCGTTGGACTCGAGATCGATCTATGTGTAGACGTACATTGTTAGCAGCGGGACATAACATGAACTGTTTGCGTTGTGTTTGCTCATCGTAGGTCTGGACGGGTACGTACGTGTTTGATGGCCACGGTCTCGCCTGTTGCCTTCTCAATGCCTTTGTAGACGACGCCGAAGCTTCCACCTATTTGGAGGTGCGCATTAGCTTTGATTGTAAAACATGGCGGCTGTTTAACATGGGGACTAGGTAGCCTGCTGGGAACGTTTGAACTCACGGCCAAGTTCCTCCAAGACCTGATAGTGCTCTGCAACACCCTCATCGGCCATTTTGTCTTGACGTCATGCAAGGTGCCGCTTCTCGAATGGGCTGGAGGACGATGAGGCCAATGCTGTGCCTGTAGACGAACCGCGGCGATCCAAGTCGGAAACGCCTTGGAGCAGGAATGTCAGGCACTAGACACGAGGGCTGCGCGACGGCGACTGATGCTGTAAATTTTAAAGATATCGATGTCGTGACGAGGGAGAGGAGAATAAAGGGATGCGAGCCGGGTCGCGCGGCCAGATAATACCTATAATCGGCCGGAGTGGCTACCCAGGCGCAGACTTCGGAGCACCTGGCTGGCAGTTTGAGCCAGGGCGATGCCCGGTTCGCTTTAATGAGGTTGTTCGTTGTCTGGGACAGCAGCAGGGCTGGGCGGAGAGCTTGGACCTCTTCTTTGTTTACAAATCTCCTTTTTTGGATAGCTGCGACTGGGGTAGTTTGCTGGGGGGTGTTGGCGGCGGGGTGTCAACTCGTCAAGACGGGCAGGATAATAGAGAACGTCGTCGAGAAGGATAAAAGTCGAGGGCTTCCCCCGTCTTTTGTCGCATCGTGACAAGGTCTGCAATGGTGTTGACGATTGCTATGACCCAAACGCGCAAAAGTGTCGTGTGAGCAATGCTGGCGCATCTGGATTGTGCGTTGGAACGAAGGCAGCTTTAGAGCGTTCTACAGGCCGGCCGTCGCCCCAGCGGCCACCACGTCAAGTGGCGCCCCGTCAGTCTAGAATTAGATGATTGATATTACATCACACTCAGCTCATGGGCGATAAATAATAATACCCCGTGGAACATGAGGGCGGGACAGGGTGTGTCAATCTGCCCGAAGTTTGCGGGTACTAGTCGAGATGCTGACGACTGGTCATTGGCTGTCATTGGCCTCCACGGGCCCAGCTCCCGATTTAGTGAGGGCAGCGTGCTGGGGCACTGTGGCTTTAGCGCTGCCGGAGAGGAGGCTTAGTGGCGTTAGAGGCGACCTAGAGGCCCCTGGAGGCCAGTTGAGCGCCTGGTTGCTTCAGGCCCCCGTTGAGGCGTGCGTTCTGCGTTGCCCTGGTTACTGCTGCCCCTCTGTTGTTCGATTGGCCTGCCGGGGTTTGACGTCTTGTGCACGCGGTGTTGCTGCCGCCGTTGCCCTGCTCCAAGCAAATAGACCAGTCGCTTGTCAAGCAACTGACCGACTGTTCAGGTCAAGTGACCGGCAGTGAGACCATACGCAGCTGGCAGACACAGAGTTTCATATCAAGAGCCATTTCTACATTGCTCAACGTCTTTTGCAAAGTTAGATTGGCCGCTAGCCCCCTTAGCTTGACATCTTCTCACCGGCTGTTTCCTGGTCCTCTCCCTCTCTGTTTTGCTCCTGCTTGACTTTGCCGTGTCGAGTGAAGACCAAGACGACTATGCAGGGTGAAGAAGGCAACTATTCTCCTCGGCCCACCTGAACGATTTGTTGCTGCAACAAATATCATCTGCTCAGCATCCACGGACCAACGCAGCACGAAATCTGCATGCAACCCGGCGGTTTTCCCATCACCAATCGACGACAAACATTGCCTCGCATAGACCATTATCTGCCAACGTTGACGTGGAGTGCTCGACTGCACGGCTTCGTCCCTTCCTGAACTTAGTTCCATGATGGTGCCTGCACCACAGCCGCTCCCAGCGAGGTTTCCGTGCTGGTGTAGAGCTGTTTATTCATGGGGTGGAGAGGTCTGTGTAGCACCTTTGCTGTATTCTTCATCTGCCAACTGTGCGGGTGTTTGCAGAATGCTTCGAGGGCCTAAAATTGCTAACATGACAATAGTCGAAACGAGATTTAGGCTTCATAGAAGGAGATTTGATTGAGTGTCTAAACGCTGGTGATGGATCGTGGTGGGTTGGACGTTTGTACCGAGATCGAAGGACGGTTGGATCCTTTCCTTCCAACTTTGTCGAAGTCCTCCCTGAAGAATTTCGTCCCATGACAAGATCAGTCAGCCCCCTGCCAGGAAGCAATACGCCCAGTCCCAAAAACACACCTGTCAAGTCCAAGACGTTCCGCAAGCCGTTTGAAGCATACGCAAAGGCTCCTCATTATACCACCGCTAAACAACCAACATCCTACCGCGATCCTTCCAAGGCCAACCCAGCTGCCACCCCAGCCCCTGCTTCTGCCCGAGCTGCGGCCGGA